AGTTCTGGGATTGTGTTTTAGTCTTTCGTTTTGACATGTTTGCTATCAGTTGCACAAAGCTCCGTTACCCTCTTTAGTACCTGCACATCCAAGGCCACTAGTGTTCCTGTTTTCCTGTTGTTCAGGTTTGCCTCTGGGTAACCTCTGAGTAGCTCTACTTAGCCTTGGCTTTTCCAGCAGCTTTTGATTTGTATCTAGTTATTCCCCGTTTTCAGATGCAGGCACTTGTGTCAGTTGATGGCCGACCTTCTGGTCCAGCGTCCCCTTGCAGTTCAGTGCACGTGCATGACCTGACTCAGGTTGCACTGGTGCGACAATCCCACTCCAGTGGACCTATCTCTCCAGGCAGTTTAGTGTACAGGCATAATTCGGACACAAACTGCAGGGTCTACAGTTTGTGAATCACCTAAATCTATGTCTCCAATCATTTCAAGACTCATACAGGAACCAGATTCAGCCAGATGGGTAGCAGTCACAGACTTTCCCAGCCTTCGCCTCGCTGGAGGGTCTGGGCGAAGGCAAAGCACAGACTCGAATCCACTGGCCCTGCAGCTCCTGGAGTACTTGCTCTCTTGGTGCAGGGTGCGTGGGGCTCAGTGAGTCTGCTTGCCTGGCTCTGAGAGCCTGCTCGCCCAGCCCCCAGTCGGAGAAGTCCCTGGGCCGCTCAGTCCAGATCTCCTCTCTGCCGCCACAGCGACTCAGTCTGTAATGTTGGCGGGGTCCTTGTTCACCGGTTCTGCCCTCAGGGATTAGATGGGAAGTACCTGGCTCTGTGCACATGTTTCAGCTGGGAATCGTGGTGGTATGCGTCCAGCACAAATTCGGACCCAGGAGCCCTGCCGCTCCTGGAGAACTCGCTGTCTAGGCGCAAGGGGCAGGGGGCTGGGGGAGCCTGCTTGGCCAGCTCCAAGGGCCTGATCGCCCCGCCCGTCCCCTGGGCCTCCCTGCGCCTAGCAACTCAGTCTGTAATGTCCGCGGGGTCTTTGTTCTTGCGTCCTGCCCTCCAGGATTGGATGGGGCCTACCTGGCTCTGTGTGCGGGTTTCAGGTTGGAATCGTGGTGGTATGCATCCAGCCCACACTCGGACCCAGGAGCCCTGCCGCTCCCCGAGAATTCGCTGTCTGGGTGCAAGGCGCAGGGCCTGATTCTATAATTGTTAAACCATTTCACATTCTCAGCAACAATGAAAGATGATTTCTTTTTTCTCCACACACTTGCCAGCATTTACTGTTTTTTTTTTTTTAGTTTTTGTTAATAACCACTCTTTCTGTAGATAGCTGGAATCCTAGTTTTGTTTAGACTTGAATTTCCTAATAGGCATAGATGTGGAACATATTGTACATACCCACTAGCTGATCTTGTGTGTGTGTGTGTGTGTGTGTGTGTGTGTGTGTGTTAAGCATGTATATTCATTTCAGGTGCCCATTTTGATCGGGTTATTCATTTTGGAGGTATCTCATTTTATCAAGTTCTTTATATATTAGAGATATTAGTGCTTTGTCCAAGGTAGAGCTAGCTAATTTTTCTCATTGTTTATGTTGTCTAACCATTCTGTTCTTTGTTTCATTTGCAGTGCAGATGCTTTTATTTTTATATAAACCCATTTGTTTTATGTAGTTTTTTTTTTTTTTACATCAACTGTTTACTTCAGAAAGTTCTTGCCTATTCGTATGACTTCAAGGGTGTTGACTATTTTAGATTACAGCATATTGTATTTCTATTTTTATTTTGATATATTTCAATCATTTTGATGTTTTGCATTTTGTGCTGACAGATGTGTCTAGATTAATGTGGCATGTGAATGAGCAATTTTCACTGCAAGTTTATTAAAGAGGCTTTATTTTCTTCAGTTTGTGTTTTCAATATTTTTTCTATACTACGATGGCTGAAGTGACAGGATTTGTTTCAAATCCTTATTTTTGTTATATTTGTGTTTTTCCTTTTTGTTTCTTTGGCCAACAGGTCTGTTCATAATAAATGAACTCACTGATTCTTATATTACATCTATAGATATTTTGAATTTTTACGTCAACATTAATGGTACCTATTAATAATGAGATTTTCATGTCTTTCTTTCCTAATACAAAATATTTCAATTTTATTATCCTTTTTCAACTTTTTTCAAATTCCAAAGCTTCACTTATACAATGCAATATTAAATCAAACATGTACTAGTAAACTTGTTGTCCTGTTCATGAGTTCATGAAAAATTTTAAACCCTTCAACATTGAGATGAGATGTTTTATACATTTAATATAGAATTATTTTAGATAAGGATACTTGAAAATATGTTATATATATGTATATATATGTTTATATATAGATACACAAACTTATAAAAATAATTTTAAATGCAAACGTACACTAATAAAACATTGAAAAATATATTGTCGAAGCTCCTTTCTATTTCTTCCTTTTATAGAATTTTATAATTAATGTTTTATAATTGTTTTCATTAAATAATTTTTCTATATGGTAACATTATCACATCATTTAACTTTTCTATTCTCATATGTTCTTGTAGTAAATTTCAAATATTAAACCAAACTGAAATGAGCTCTCCAAGGTACATCATATCTTTCCTATATATTGAATTTTCCCAAAAATGTTTAAGGAGTTTTGTATATTTATTTGTCAGATGTACACTTGTAGTTGTGCTATTTAACTTGTCATATTTTTGTGTCAAAGTTACAATGTCTTCATAAGAAGTGTTGAAAAGCAGTCAGATTTTCTATATTTTGAAGTGTTTTAAAGTAATTATTTCTTTGTTAGGTGTTTTGCAGACTTAATCAATGAAGATATTCAGACCTGGAATTCTCCATGTCGGTTAGTTTTTTTTTTTTTCATTATTTACATAACATCTTAAATGTAGGAGCACTAATTCAGATTTTTAATTTCCAATAATTTCAGTTTTTGTATATTCTTATTTGTTTATTGGTACAAGTTTGATTACATTCATTATGATGAATTGGTATAATATTTAACATTTCTTGTTTCATTTTAACACCCTCAGTCCCCTTCTTCCCCTTCTCTGCAACTCTTGTACATTATATATATATATATTCTGTTTATATGAATTAACGTAATAGAAATACATGATCAATTTCCTCATATACTGTATGCATATACACTTAGCTTCACAACCCCTTCCATTTAATTTCATATCTTTTCTCTCCATCTCTCCTCTGCCTCTGGCTGCAGATGACCTTGCCACAGGCCAAAGATTCATTTTGATATTTCATATTGTCTTTCTTCTATTATGCATTGCAATTATGAATTGGCTTTCACACATAAGTGAAAATATGCAGTATTTAATCTTGTGTGTCTAATTTACTTCACATAACATTGTCTCAAAGTGCATTCATTTTCCTACACATGGCACAAGTTTATCTTTCTTTATGGCACAGTATTAAGCTATTGTGTATAAATGTCACATCTTTATCAATTCACGTGTTGATAAATGTATAACAAACATTCAAATCTTAAACTTTTTACTTTAAAGAGAAAAGAACACAATAACCAAAAAGACATAAATAAAACACAAAAACAATGAACACAATACAGAATTTCAAATCAAGGTGATAGGAAATTAACAATGGTTATTTTATTTCATGCTGTTACCTTCAAAATAGCTGTTCAGGTAAATATATAAATATATATAGGCATGTAAGATGTATCAAACAACTAAACATTGACTGTTCCTTTCAATAAATCAGTAAAAATTGGCAGAATAATTATCTTATGTATCATGTGTGTGTGTGTGTGTGTGTGTGTGTGTGTGTGTGTGTGTGTGTGTATCATTAATTCCTTGGGAATGATACCAAGAAGGGGAATAGCTGAGTCAAAAGAAATTTTTATTTTTCATTTTTGAGGAACATCCATACTTATTTTCATAATGTTTGTACCAGGTTACATTCACATCCACTATGAAGGAGGTTCCATTTTCCCTGAAGGTTTTGCAGCATTTGTTGTTATTGATTTATATACTATGGCCATTTTTTCTGCAGTGAGATGGATTCTTAGTGTTGTAGTTTCCATTTCTCAAATGACAAATGATGTTGAACATTTTGGGTATTCATTTAACATACTCATCGTGGGGTGTCTTTAAATTTGAGGGGTCTAACTTTTATGAATTCTTTTTTGTCTTTCTTCATCACTTATTTTAGCTCACTTAGGACACTAGTATGGAATTGATTATATCATACTCAATGTTTAGTTTTTCCAGTAATGTCACATATTACAATTATATTACTTTAAAATAAAAGTAATTTTGACTATTATTAGTACACATTTGACATACATGATTACCTTCACTGTAGGGAATTGGTACATGTATGTAACACATTTCAATTATTTTCCTCTTCCCTCCACCCCCTTTTATATTTCCAGCATCAGATTAACTTATTTATTTTATCAGTCCATAAGGTTTTATATATATATATATATGTATATATATATATATATGATTTTCCATAATATTAGTTCTTTGAGGACTGGCATGCAAAAGTTTCTCATTCTGTAGGCTATATGTTTAGTTTGTTCATAATTTCTTTTGCTCTTCAGAAGGTTTTTATTTTGATATTGTCACAGTTGTTGACTCTTGATATTGTTCCTTGTGCGCTTGGTGTTCTGTTGAGGAAGTCTTAGCTTACGTCTGTCTTGAAAAGTTTCACCTATTTGGTCTTGCAGGAGACTAAGCACTTCTGTTTTAATATTTATATCTTTGATCCATTTTTATTTTTAATTCACTACATGATGGCAAATATTGATCTACTTTTAATCTTTAGATTAAGGGTAGTCAAATTTCTCAGCTCTATTTTCTAAGGGAACTATGTTACCTCCAGTGAAAGTATTTGGCACCTTCATCAAAAATAAGGCTGCTGACTGTGCTTTATGTTGCTTCTTCATTGTGTAGTCTGTTCCATTCATCCACAAGTTTTTTCTTTTTTTATTTTATAAATAAAAGGAGGAAAACATTAACAGGCAGACAACTTTTTACAAAATAGCAAAAGAATAGTACAGACAATACAGTGTTACAAACAAAGTTGTAGGAAATTAACAGTGTTTGTTGTATTACTTATTGATATCTTCTTTTGCTACTACTGTGCTGTATTTTCTCTGTAGCTTTTTATAATAACATGAAGTCTGGGGCAGTGATGCCCCTGCATTGGCCTTGCTACCCAGAAATACTTTTCCTATTCTAGGTATTTCCTGTTTTCATTTGAATTGCAACTTACTCTAGTTCTGTGAAGAATGATATTGGTATTTTCATTGGATTTGTGTTAAATCAATGCAACAACTTTGGAAACATGGCCATTTTGTTTTCTTTTGTTCTGTTTTGGTTTTTTTTTTGGTTTTTTTTTTGGTTTTTCTCCGGTACCGGGAACCGAACTCATGACCTTGTGCTTGCCAGGCAGGCGCTTTTGCCACTGAGCTAAACCCCCAGCCCCAACATGGCCATTTTGATTATGTTGGTTCTGTGCATCCAGGAAGTGGAGCTTTCTTTCCATTATCTGATATCCACATTGATCTCCTTTTTCAGAGTGCTGTAGTTTTCAATGTAGACGGGTCTTTCACTTTGTTCTTTACCTTAAATATTTTATTTGTCTTCATGGCACTGTAATATATGTTGTTTCCATAACTGATTCTTTATGAGTTTATTACTGGTGTAGAAGAAGACTATTACTTTTTGTGTGTTGAGACTATATCCTGCTACACTAATGAACTTGAATATTAATTCTAAGAGTCTTTGGGTAGAGCTTTCGGGGTCTTCTATGTAAATGAGTATGTAATCTGCAAATAAAGATAATGTAACTTCTGTTTTCCTATGCATCTTTTTTATTTCCCTCTCTTGCCTGATTTCTCTGATTAATGTTTAGATCACTATATTTAAAAACAGTGAGCATAGCAGACATCCTTTTCTTGTTCTTGATTTTAGAAGGAAAACATTCAACTTCTCTTATTTCATGTTGTTTGCCATTGAGTTTTCATACATAGTTTTTATCAGAATGAGATAAAAACCTTCCAAAACTATTAACTTTATTTTTTAGCATGAATGAATACTGGATTTTATAAAGGGTCTTTTTGTGTACTAATATGAGCATGTGATTCTTGTCCTTGCTTTTTTCTATGTGTGCTACATTATTGGTTTGCATATGATGAATCATTTATGCATCTCTGGAATTAATCCTGCTTGGTTGGAATGTATCTTTTTGATTGTGTGCTACATTCTGTTTGCCAGTATCTTATTGAGGATTTTGCATCTATGTGCGTTATAAGATTGGTCTGCAGTTCACTTTGTTGATTAAGTCCTTTCCAGGTTTTGGAGTGAGGGTAATGCTTATCTTCAGGTTTACCTGGGAGCACTGCTTCTCTTTCAACTTTGTTAAAGACTTTGAAGAGTATTGCTATTAGTTCTTCTGTAAAAATTTATATTCTTTGGCAATGAATCCATCAGGACCTGAACTTTTCTTAGTTGCTAGTTCATTTATTCTTCAATTTCACTGACTAGTATTGGATTTCTTAGGATTACAAAATCTTCTTGGTTCAACTTAGGTAGTTCATATGTATTTAGGAATCTATACAATGCTTGTGAATTTCTAGTTTATTAAAGTACAATTTCTGAAAATGGTTACAGAAGATATTCTGGATTTTGGCAGAATCCTTTGTGATTTTTTTTTCCTTTTTCGCTCCTAATTTCATGTATTTGGATCTTTTCTTTCCTTATTTTGGTAAGATATGCTATATATTTGTTTATGTTTTATTCTTTAACTGAGACAGCACTTAAAATTCTCATGGGCAGGTTGGCACACACCTTTAATCCCAGTACTAGAAAGGCTCAGACAAATGGATCACTGCTAGTTTTAAGCTAGAGTGGGCTGCATAGTGAGTTCAAGGCCAGCCTGAACTACAAAGCAAGACACTGGAAGAAAAAAAGTGTTTAATTCACTGATTTTTTTTTACTTTTGATCTGATCTTTATTATATCCATCCTTGTGATAGCATATGAATTGGACTGTTCTTGAATTTCCAGGAATTTGAGTTGCATCATTAGGTTATTTATTTGAACTCTGTTTTTCAGATGTGGACATTTAACCCTAAAAACTTTCCTCTTAAGACTGTTTTCCTTGTGTTCTGTGTTCCACTATCTTGTACTTACACTGTTGTTTGACTCTCAAAACTAATTTCTTCCTTTATGTGTTCTGTGACTCATTGATTATTCAAATGTGTATTGTTATGTTGCATGTGTTTGAATAGTTTCTTTTCTTTCTTTTGTTCTATGTGTCTTGTTTTTGTGCACTATGATCTGGTAATATGCATTAGATATTTTAAAAGGAGTTCAATGAGTATATCAAAAAATGGAAAGGTATCATTTGTTCCCATATTGGCAGACTGAATGTAGTCAAAATGGCCATACTTCCAAAACAGTTGTATAGATTTAATGCAACTCCAATTAAAATACCAATAGCATTCCACAGAAAGCTGGATAAATTTTTCTAAAATTCATATGGAATCAGAAGTTAAATATAACAGCAAAAGCATTTTGTTCAACAAGACTAAGGCAGAAGAAGTCAGAGTCCCAGATTTCAAGTTATACTACAAAGCTATTATACTAAAAAAGCATGATATTGGCAAAAATAGACTTGCGGCTTAATGGAGCCAAAAAGAAGATGCAGAAATAACACTAAGCACACCCAGGTACATTAACTTTGTTGTTTTTTTTTATTTTAAAAATAAAAGGAGGAAAACATTAACAGACAGACAACCTTTTATAAAATAGCGAAAGAACAGTATAGACAATACAGAGTTACAAACAAAGTGGTAGGA